GAAACAACTTGCAAAAAACTGCAAGTAAAAAAAAAAAAAAAGAAAACAACCAGGGAATTGAAAACAAAAGAAAAAGAGCTTTTTTTTTTTCTTTTGCACAGCGCAGTTCGGTTATGGGTGTCGAACTGAAAACAAAAGAAAAAGCTTTTTTTTCTTTTGCACAGCGCAGTTCGGTTATGGGTGTCGCGCGCCGCGCGCAAGGAAATAAGAAAGATAAGCGGAGAGCCCTCGCCTAAGCAGACAAAACAACTTGCGAAAGGCGGCAAAAAAAAGAAACAAGGAACTAAAAAAAAAGAAAACGAAGAGGATTTTTTTTTTTTTTTGCACAGCTTAGTTTGGTTACGGGATCGGGCGCGGCGCGCAAAGAGATAAGAAGTTACTTCGATCTTTCAGGATGAAAGGTCCCTTCATTATGCGAGTAAATACGGACGCAAAACCTTTACTTCGCGTAATGAACGCCCCCCCTAACTTTGCATCGATTTTTCAGAAAAAAAAGTGCGTTCATTTTGCGAGTAAATACGGTAGTTGCTCTCACGCCTTAAAACTCTAATCAGTTAATCGATCAATCGATCGAAATAAATGACCCCAAGGTTTTGAGGATAGATGGCGATTCTAATCATTCCATTTTTTCATTGGGTCTGTGGGATTTTCCGAAATGTGACTTTTTCCACGGTGGCCTCTTGGAACTCAGTCCATCCGTCAGGTTCTTTGAGCAACCCGATCGGTCGACTATTAACGTCGGCAGCGCTTCTCTGGTGCTTCAGTTTGTCCCTCGGGAAAACATTTTCACGGCGTGACGGAAATTCCAGGCCAGGTGACCTAAGGATTGTGGCGTGGCTTGACTGGTGTCTTCATAGAGCCTAGATTTAAGAGAATGAGCCTTAATGGCGGATGCCTCCTGCGCAAATTGGGTGCACGTGCGCACGCATGCGGATGAGGAGGATGGCCAGCTGAGAAAAGCTATGGACTCTTTTGCTTCTCTTTCTCAGCCCGTATTGCATATTCTAACGAGGTCTAGGCACGCTGTGTCTTCACTATGTATGAAACCAAATGTCCAAGTGAGAAGTAACGCAACGCAGGGCGGGTAGGCTGGCCCTCTTGGAGCATGTGGTAGAACAGCGAATTGAGGAGTACAAGGCGACCTGGGACGGTTCTCATTTGAAGGTAGGAAGGCTAGTCGGGGGGGAGGGGAGGGAGGAGATAGGTTTTGAAGACCGAGAGTGACGAATGAGGGATGCTGGGTTCAGAGAGTCTGTTTGAACTGAGGAGTGTCGACACGAGGTAAGGGAGGTGGCCTACAAATCAGAGTTTCATGTGGCGCCTAGAGTTAACGGTGTTGCGCAACAGTGTTGGACGTGACGTCACTGATGCCAGAATGTGACACCGCAACGTCGCAAGATTTTGTCACCTAATTGGTGTCACGCAACCACCGTTTGCTCAAATTGGGAGCGTGTTGCTCTTACTTGCGGCGTCACGTTACTTTCCTCAGGGATCTCGGCCCTTAAACGCATGCTGCGGTGAAAGCATGCTATGCCGTATTTTCCAGATTATTGTACGCAAACTATAGGCCTCCTGCAGTTGAGCTTGGAACAAACTGTGGCACCTTCATTCTGGGTAGTCCAAGCCTACCTGATTGGGCCTTTCACTACTTTTGACCCTTCGGCTGAGCTTTTTTTCTTTCTGCGTAGTGCTGAAGAATGGAAAAAACAACTTTGGACATCCGAAATCGGCTAGATTCAACGCTGTAACAAATTGAATGTGCTAGATTCTTGTCACCAACACTAGGGTATGCGTCTCTTATCTCTGGGTGGTGATGTCGGAGCATCTGGCGTCGTGACGCTGTTATTATTTTTATTTTTTTCAGTTCTGCTTTGGAACGCGCTCTAAGGGTCTGTTATACTCTGACACAGGGCATAGCAAACGCGGCGTAGCGCAGCGCTTACGGATGTTGATTGGTCGCAGATATCGAGTTCTCGCTCACCGGCCAATGAAACACGCGTGTTCTGTGCTATGCTGCGTTCGTTGCACTCAACAACAGAGCGTTTAGCATCTTAGCTTTGACCTGTGCTCCGACGGCGTTCATAATTTTTGGTGTTTCTTTGTATTTCCCTCGTGATGTCGCGTTCCACACCAAAGCAGGCATGCTTCTACATGTGTGAGATTTTGAGACGCTCAAGTTTGTACTACCCAAGACAAGTTCTAACAAGTCACTTTTTTGCAGCGCCCCTTGGGAAACGCAGGAGGGCCTCTACATGTTTAAAAGTTGAAAAAATATGCGGTGTGGTCTTTCTGCAAGTGCAAACTAAGGAATGATAGTATGTTTGTGAGGATTTCAGTGTGATACAAGTTTCTTTAACAGCCATTACGGCACTAACTTTTCAAGGTCTGCTGCATAGCTAAATATTTTATGTGCAGAATAGGCACCGCGTACAGACTATCCACAGGGTGCAGACAACGCTGCGGAACATCTACGGAAAATTTTTTTTTTACTGAACTTTGTCTTTGTGGACGTCCGGAACACCAGGTGCGGACTATAGTCCCTAAAATGCATTTAGTGTACTTTGGGTATTAGGAGGATACGGGAATACAGTAGACTTATTAATTTAAACTCCAGGAAGCTACGAATTTTGTTGAAATTATCGCAAGTTGGAATTATCTGAAATTCATCTAAATATGATGCAAGATAAAATTATAATTTTTTATACGAATGACTACACATAACAAAGCACATATTTGATGATTTTCTCTCATAGGCCTACTGATCATAAGCAGGTATGCCACATATAAAGCATTTTGGAGATGTATGACAAGTTTATTTGACCCTCAAGAACGTTGTTTATCGTGGACTGTTTAGACAGCAGATCACAACTCAAAACCAAATTAACTTTGTTCATCGGGCGAAGAGGTTGTCTAATGGGGACTATTAAGCGGGGGACACGTGAGCAGCGAAAAGGGGCACCGCGCGGCAGTTTTTAGAGCAGCTTGCGTGGTGGCTGTGACGTGGACCTTTGCCATGCCGCCACGTCACAGCGTCTGCGCAAGTGGCTATGGAAAGTTTTGTGTGGTGGCAATTTTCATAGCTCATGTGTGCCCGTTTGAGCCCCGTTAAGTGCGCTTCTCACCGAGCACCGCTGCACCGCGGAGAAGCAACACCCACAAAGCAAGCTCCGCGGATGTTGCTTCTCTGCAGTGCACCGCTGCTCGGAAAGAAGCGCACTCAACGGGGCCGCAACAACAAAGAGTATAAATTACACGAAAGCGCCGCTCGATTTAAGTGGCTTATGAATACATTAAAACGATAGCGGGACAACCAAAATTTATAAGTGTGATATAAAAAATTGTACAGCTACGTCAGCTTTAATTACGATATGATCTCAGCGTCCAGTTATGCTAAAGTATTTATATTTTTACGAATTTTAAAAAGAAACAAATGTGACTGACCTAAATGTCGGTGGTTAACGAAAAATATGCAAATTTATTAAAAAAAACTTCTGCCAACCATATTAAATTTGTAAGTATGCAGACTGTTCAACACGTTTTCAGAAAAGTCTTACAAGAGCCACTCACCCTGGGCCAAAACCTACAAGTTTGTTAGCTTATGGATAAATAGAAAGAAATGTGTACCTTTTTGATGTGCCAGTGCCGTAGAGGATCTTTTATGCAGTATTTTTCATAATATCTCGATGAGAAATAACTTGCAGTGGCAAAACAGACATACGTTCCTGTGGTGTTAAAAATATTAAATTCAAACTGGAAGTTTTTATACTACAAATGAATTGGCCCGAATTGTGAATCGCGTAACGATCCGTCGTATAATGGTCATTCGTATAACGATCAGTTGTGTAGCGAGTAGATCGCAGCACCGGTCACGCATCAACTAAAGAAAAGATAAAACTTTCATTGATATTCAGTATATAATCGTGCAGTCTTACCGTTTTTCTGTCACACTGTTCATTTAGGGTAATATCCTACAAGTTCATGAGCCTAATTATAAATTATAAAACATGTATTTCTTTTTAAATAAAATTATATATGTAAAAAATAGATTACCGTAGAATACCGTGCATCCGTCCATTCCATATTGAGTGCCCATTACCAGATCTGTAAGATCTAAGGAAATACGGACTGTACATTTATATGTAAAATTGATGACCGGACAAGCGCCCATCCTCCATTTGTTTTGCGGTTATCTCCAAAGTTTGAGGAGGCGCTTGCCCGGTATTTTACGATAAGTTTATTTTTTTGGTTTGTGTAAAAATATGCTTTTCATGAAAAAGTGGTCATGCTCCCTAATTAATAGTATCGTGTTTTAAAATTGGTTTAATTACTTTTCGAACAGACCTGGTGGCAGATTTCAAGAAGCTTTTGCGAAAGAAGCAGCTTTCACGAGAATATTTTCTAGTCTGGACACAAAATTTGAGTCTATATGTTTCATGTATGTTATTGCAGATATCAATATTGCAATACAGTGAACTGAAGTGACTTGCTTCACAATCTACTTATAAGGATATATTGCTTATAATGATCAGTTTCTAGAGTTTCTAGACTAGAAACGATGAGTCTAGTTCAGATATTACGGTAATCGGTTATAACGATTATTGTTCTAACATTATCGTTATTGTTAGAAGTGGATTGTACTGTACAAAAAAAACAACATTTTATTAATTGCAAAAAAGAATAGAGTGGTTAAATAGCTGTCGCTCATTTTATCCAGGGTACGTTCTACAATATTTGTCGTTAACGATATAAATAAACATCCGGGAGCTCGGCCATATTTTTTTTATAAAAGTAACGAATGAATTACCTATTGATCGACGTAGGATGGTGAACTAAAGTAAATGTCGCGAAACCAATTTTTCACGAACCTGAATTTTTAGTCTTGGGGAGAAGGACCTGTATATTGGGAGCGTACCACTTTATTTAGCGAAGGCGTACAGTGCGTGCACCTGGGGAGAGACGGCGGGTGACCCACACGTGCTCCTTCGTGTTCCCGACGCCAGGGGGCTTCGAGGAGTTTGGGGGCCGCTACCCGAGCCTGTGCCGGGACCAGCGGGCGTCCTCGGGGCCCTCGCTGACCTCCCTCTCGCAGCCGTGCCTGCCCACGGGCCACCAGGGCCCCACCCGCATCCTGCCCTTCCTCTACCTGGGCTCCCAGCAGGACGCACAGAACCAGGAACTGCTCAGGGTGAGCACCGCCCCGGCGTGCCTCAGTCGCGCCCCCCTGGCGGCTGCCTTTAGAACTACTGCGAGATGCTCTTTTGTAGCCTCTCCTGCCTGCGCAAACAATGCAGCATGCACCGTGTACACGTGTATGCGGCACCCGCTTGGAACGGAGGTCGAAACGGGTCGAGCCGGCGTCCTCGGACGACTGCTTTGGAGAGAGAGCCCGTCGCATCCCACCGATGCCACTCCGTTTATTGTCGACTCTTACGTTGCACCGTGTTGTCTAGCGGAAAAGATGAAGTAAAGAATGGCCTTGTCTCTGGGGAAGCTGGGCGTTGTCCTTGCGTTGCGTCGCCGACAGCCAAAGAAACGCGGGGCATGGCCTACCATGTTCTCGTAATGCCTCCGCAGAGCAACGCTTCTCCTCCGCCTTTCTCAGTTGTCGGTGGTTCTAGAAAGGGACGGGAGTGGTGCAGTCTACTGCAGTCGCCAGCTGATAGTTTGGATGGGGATCGAGTCTGAATATTCGAGCGATCCCAAAAAATTAGGGGTGTGTGAATACCAAATAATAGTTTTCGAATCGAATACCAAATCGTGTAAAGAAAAAAAAAGCTGAATATTGAATCGAATATCGAATAGTGATTTTATTTGTAGGAATTTTTCAAAGTGTGCTGTGAAGGAGATGATTATATGTGCAGAATATGCACCTGGTGCAGAATATGCATCTCGTATGAAACAAAAGCTCTAATGTATGGAAGTTCTGGGAGAAAAAAAGAAAAGAAAAGGAGCTGCTGATGGACATTGGGCACTAAAGATCCGATTTTATGGCACAAACATAATCTATCTACCCTAAATGTCACAAAAACCCCAAAGTTACAGCCACGTACGCCTTTTTTTCTCGTTAAAAGCATGACCCAACGTTACTAAAACACTCAGTTGGGAAACTCGCCGTCGAAACCTGGGCCGCTGGCGTCCACCGAGACCGAGCTAAATGCGACAACAGCGCCACTCTTTATCATTTGTCTGTACTGTGGTCACCTTGAGCTTTTTGAAAGCCTGTTTTTGCGTAAAAACAAACGGAAAAGACTCTTTTTGTATGAAATTTATTGGAGTTTAGTACCAAAAGAGGGGCACGTTATGTTTTTAAAATCTTTAGTTTGCAGGGTTTTGCGGAACAATTAATATTGTTTTTATACAACCATGCCTCAGCGGGCCTTTCGGGTAGCGCGTCCAGACCTAGGTGCATTTTAACTTCGGATGTTGAACGCGGCGCGCCCGCCGGGGAGACGGGGGTGGCACCCCTGTAACCTCTACCGCTGTATCTGTTCTGAAGCCAAAATAGAAGTCACGTGCAGTTCTTCAAGAGGCCGCTGCGGGAGAAATGGTGGCGTTGTGTTCGTCATTAGCTCGGTGCTCGGAGACAGATTGGGGCCACTTTTTCAAAGCTGTCATCTCTATGGGAGTTTCCCAACTGAGTGTTTTAGTAACGTTGGCATGACTTAACACTGCAACGTTTTATATATATACCGTAATATCCCGAGTCATCGCCCATCCCCGAGCCATCGCCCACCCCATTTTTTGGGCCAATATCGATTTCCGAAAAAACACCGAGTCATCGCCCACCCCTTCAAATACCCCAGCGCGGACTCTGCGATCCGCGAACACTCATCCTACCCGAATGACGCGGTCGCTGACCTTACAGTTGGAGGACGTCCGTGACAAAGTAAAACGAAGGAGGGAAAGACACTTCTTTTTGTTTACGCATTTCCTCCGTGAGCGACCCCAAAGTGGTCGTGTATCCGTGCGAAAAGAAAACGATGGAGATAACAAAATAAGAGTTTGTTAACGTAACCGCGGAGTGTTAGGTCAAAGTCTGTCTCCGCCGAAGTAAGGTCACCGCGAACCCGCTCCTTCTTCCCGCCCGTCGCGACCGCGGTTGTGCAATATTTTAGGCAAAGCCAAAGCGTAAATAAAGCTTTGCTGGAACGTCCTACACAGACGTTTGCAGAGCGTCCCAACCGTGCATTGATAGCCCGCCGTGGACGGACGCACGTATGTACGCACCAAACAAGTTGCGCAAGAGCTTGCAATTGACGAGGCGCCCGACTTAGCCCGACGCCAAAGTATTTGCCAACGCGACCGCCGGCTTTCCCGCTTTCCCAGCATTGCTCTTGGTCGCTTCTTTGGTCCGCTCGATCGCTTGCTCGCTCGCTCGTTGCGCCTAGTCGGTTTTTCTATTTTCTTGTAGACTTTTCTTTCTTTCTTTTTTACTAACTAGGAGAACATAATGGTGACATTCTTTCACGGAACAAACGTTCGCGCTGTATGCAGATCGGCGGTGTTTCTAGCGCGTATGCAAGCAACGGACTTCGCTATAGTAAAATATTCTTTCGTGAGCATTTTTTCTATAAAACAATGAAACTAAATCGAGTTTTGAGTTTGATGTATCTCTTGTGCATCAGCGCTAGATACGCAGAGAAAAATGGGCGTTTTTTTCCGCTTTTTTTCAAGTGTTTGTGCTCACCCACCGAGACATGGCCCACCCCACTTTTTTAACGAATTTTAGGCGGTAGGGGGGTGGGCGATGACTCGGGATATTACGGTATATATATATATATATATATATAAAGGGATGGGCAGTATTTCAAATACAAGTATTTGAAATATGTATTTCAAATACTTTGTGTATTTTGTATTTGTATTTAATTACAAATTGGGTAATGTATCTGACGTGTGTATTTAAATTCTAAAACGTGGGTATTTCAAATACAATTGTAATTGAATACAATTTTGTGGGCGAAAATACATCCCTCAAATTTATTGTCACTATTCAGAGCAGGAAGAAAACTATGTTCTGCATCGAATGCAGTGTCTCTCAATCAAGCACAAGCGTTTAGTGACTTTGTGATTACGGTGCTAGTCCAGGGCAAGAATAGTGACGAAATCGACGTTCACAGGCAGACTGGCTAAACAAGTGCCTGTGACAACTTGTGATGCTTTCCAGCCTGATGTCCATCCATATTTTTGCCTGGAACATTCTAAATGCAGGGGTCGTCCAGATTTTCGTAACTAGTGCGAGTTGCAACAATAAAAAAAATTTCTAGCTAGTGCTGCGCGTCTTGGTCGTCTGACAAAAAAAGCTGCTTGGAGCTTTGTACTTTTTTCACGTATTACGTCCAAGCTGATTACATTTTTTTGTGATTATATTTCTATTACGTAACTAGAGCCTCGCACACCGATTCCTGAGTGTGCGATGCAAAATTATATTGTTGAATTAACAGCGCAAATTTGACAAGGAAGGGGAGACAAGGGAGACAGGATAGAGCGCTGAGCTAACAACTGACGTTTAATGAAAAGAAGAGGAAAAAGAACCCAAGAATGCTTTTAAAACATGCATAATCAAAACCCGCAAAAACATATGCTATAGCTTGAGTTGCCTGAAAACGAATTGCTAAGAATATCAAGCTTTAAGCTGCTCGCTTAATGACTTGTTGAAAACGATTGAGTCCTGGGACGACGTGAATAGACACTCCGGTAGAAAAAAGAAAGAGGAAGTTTATGTTTAAAATATTCACAGATGCTAAGGATCGTTAAAGATCACAACTTAAAAAGTAAAGTTCTTTTGGTGACAAGGCCACGGACGGCGCACTTACGCAGGCGTCCCCACTGGACAGAATAACCTCTGCCTCGTAGAACTCGCGAGTTTGTCGTTCCCCGAAACGTTTCAGGATTTTTGTTTTCCTGATTTTGTATTTTGTAATTAAATGCTTTTTCGGAAATGTAATTAGATTTGTAATTAAATACATTTTTGACGAAGTATTTTGTATTTGTATTTCAATACATATTTGCATGTATTTTGCGCATCCCTGTATATATATATATATATATTTGTATATGTCAGAAAAGGGGCATTTTGCGATATTTGGTTTCAATTTTAAGGAAGGAAAAGGGCACCCGGGATTTTATTTCATATAAATAAGCAGATAGGTTTTAATCTGAGTAAAGAGGCTTATAGAATATAATCCGAAGTAAGAAAAAAAACAACCTGGCTAGGTGGCGCAAGACGAGCAAACGGAAGAGCGACGATGCCTGCCCTGCCTGCCCGATCCCGATCGGCGCTTTCGTGTTTTCATCACCTTCTTGCAGTTCGTAATTCAAACGCTGCTATCGAACGGTTGGAAACCCTCTCAAATCTAGGCACACTATTTTTCCGTTTCCTTTCGTTCAGAATCCGAATTTGCGGCTCTTGGCTGGTTTCATCGACATGGTTAACGTGGTTTTCTTTCTGGGATCGTGCAGTTGCCGATTTCTGTGAGTACGGGAAGTGTGTTCTAGATCGGCCCTTCAGTTTAAAACGAGGGGCTTTACTCTTAAAAAGAATTAGGCATGGCGCGGAATTCCGGCCTCCCAACTATTCCTCTCTGGAAGCGGCGCAAACGGGATGTTTCGTTTGTGATTCAAGGGTAGATTGTGTCACGATCATGAGTAAATCTGCGTGCTATAAAGTTTGTGGCAATCGTTACTTTTCTCTTTTCTAACCTGCGCGTTAGATTTTTGTGGAATGGTAGGACCAAGAGGTGTTTCTCGCATGTTCTGTCTAACATCACGGCACCAACATTGGGAGAAAAACGACCCTTTTGTCAGCTCCACGCCGACCGCGCTTCTTTGGCCGAATATATCTAGGGTTGTTCGTTTTCGGGTAAAACCCGATTTTGCCCAATTTTTACACCCCGAACATGTTTCAGGCAAATCGGGTTAAACCTGATTTCTCCCCGAATTCCAAAACCACATAACCAACCTCTTTATTTTTACGCCGCACGGAGTTTGCCGTGCACACACGCTATCTACCCTACTTCGGGACAACACCGGTAGTTCATTTCGCAAGCTGCGTGCAGCACTGTGGACGCTACACGGCTCTCCAACCAACCGCCCTACGAACGTGCCAACTCACCGTGGCATTCTACGGAGGCCGGCTGAGGAAAAGCGACAATAGGCGTTGGAGCCTCGGAGGGACATTTCCGT